ATTCCAACAGTGGGCGCATTGTGACGTGATTATTGCAGCACGCGGCTTTGAGCTCTCAGCCAAGAGACCCTTTGTTTCCCAGAAAACAAATTCCATGAATAAGGAGCACAACATATGACACTTGGGTTCTCAGCCATGCATAAAGCAATTCATGAAACCGAAAGAGAAAATAGGACAAAAAAAAACAATGCACTCGTATAAATATGAGAAAAACTAATTCATAAATACTTTCAAAACACTACAAAAAATCCCTAAAAGTAATTAAGTTCTAACAGCATGCATCAACAACAGTCCCTGTGCGTTCCCAGCTTCACCATGAGGAACAATGAGTCCACTGCCTCCTCCTGAGAGAAAGTCTGCTCAGCTTATTTTATCCATCCTCTATCTCTTCTTCCCACTGTTCTCAGAATTAATGGGCCCTCCACAGCCTGCATCGAAACAGAGATCTGCTAATGGACGCCTAGTCTATTTACAAAACCAACACTTCAAAAGTCTTCTGGTCCCTATGGGAAGAATCTGCAAGATTATCCATCAAGCCATCTGGATTTTAAGACTTTCTGCTACAGGACTCACTTCGTTTACACAGATAAAACAATTGACTGGGGGCCACGGGAGTCAAACAAGCAGCTGCTTATACAAAATCTCCTTCGATCTGAAATGTTTAAAGGATCTAGATCTACAACAATATTAAAAATAAAAATTCCAAACTGGGGTACAAAGCAAGTAATGCCATAGATGAATTATTTTTGGCTCCAGGAAAGAACATTTCCATCATTCATTCATTCATTTTCATTCACTACGGACAATTGAGTTTCTTTAATTCACCTATAGCACATGTCTTTGGACTGTGGAAACCAGAGCACCTGGAGCAAACCCACGTAAACACAAGGAGAACATCCAAATTCCGACAGAAACGCTAACTGGCCTAGCCGAGACTCAAACCGGCGACCTTCTTGCTGTGAGGTTCTGATGGTGCTAACCACTAAGCCACTGTGCCGCCTCATTTACATCAAGAGTTCTTAATATAACCTTTTTTGCTTAGTGTGAATAACAATGATTTCAAAACATTTTCCACCGCAAAGAATCATTTGGGGGTATAAAAATGTTCCTTTTATGTTAAAGGTTGCATATGGAACAAATAATCACAATTTTTGTGTGTGTGTGTGTGTGTGTGTGTGTGTGCATGAAAATCGTGAACCATCTTTATAACCCAAAAATGAGATTTGCATCTAAACAAACTGAAAATAAGTAAGTACCATAATTTACAAGGAGATTCAGAAAAATAATTTCTGCAGTCGACTTAAAAACATTACATTTATAAAGATTATTATATGTTAAATAAGTAATCGCTCATATTTTATACGAGTAATTCAACAACTCATAATTCATAAAGACTTGTTGGATTGCTGGATGGAACAGCATTTATAAAGTATTTAATATTAAATAAAAAAATTTGTTAAAGTTTCATAAGTTACTTCCTAAAGGTGAGAAATTTATTTTAACTCTCAACCTTCCCAGAAGGCACACAACATCATAAGATGCTAATATTAGGTTAGGTTTAGGTCATGAGGTCAGATAACCAAAATTCAATATAGGCAACCTTATTTTGATGTGTAATAACGACGTCACATTACGTTGATATTTAATTGATTTTAGGTTGTCATAGTGGTAACATCCAAACAACATCCAGTGTAACATAATCAGACGTTGATATTTGGTTGATTTTAGGTTGGAAATTGTATATTGACTTCAACTCGCTTTTCATTTCCAAACAAAATCCAACTTTCCCACGACGTTGAGGTACAAAGTCAATTTGACATCATGTTGACGTCCCGTGCCTGCAGGGTTTTCTCAATAAGCCTTTATATCCAAATAATAAATATTTAATCTAATACTTATGAGATAATTTCAATGTACTTAAGACAGAAATAACTTGTGGTTAAAATACTTGTAATACAGTTTCAAATAAAAACAGAAACCTATTATAGCATTTTAGCATTCAATTAAACTAAAACAGCATTCCAATGGCCCCAAAACAGATTTTAAGGTAAAAGTTTTTGAACATTGTTACTACTTTTTAGTAAATTGTTAATTTACTAAATTGTTTTAAGTAAATTTAGTAAATCGTTAGTAAATTGGTGTCACCTAAATGTATATAAAAGACAACTTCTCTCAGTATCAGCAACAGCACAAATGAAGATTTTAATGTTCTGATTTAATGCTCTGAACTGTTCTTATCTAGAAATGTTAGTCCTTTAAATAGAGATTGTAATCTTAACAATAAATTGTTCTGTTCTTGGTAACTTCACAAAGATCTTGTCTCACTAATTCCTCATTATATCAGTAAACAAAATCTTTAACACAAAATCTGCTTTCCATATTGTAAGCGCTTTGTGAGTACAGAGTGTTAATTGACATCTTGACATATTTTCAAAACACAGCTTTGGAGGAGTTTTATAATTCAACTAAAAATATCCACACAGTATGAGTTTAGAGCACCCTGGCAGCAGGAGAAAGAGCAAGGTGGGGTTTACACTTAGCTGATAACAGCAGGGAACTGAGCAGGTGTGTTTCAACAAAGCCAGTCAAACTCAAAAAAGAGACTCTGTCAAATGCATCAAGGGTAATAAAGTTATCCAGGGCTAATAAAAACAGAGTGAGACATGGTAATCATCAGTGGAGGTGGACATTTAAATCAGCTAATTCAGACACTCTGGCGAGGAGAAAATGGAGGACTTTCCTTGCCTGTGATTTTTAGACAAATTGCAAGTGCTACTCTAAAAGACTTTATTTGGGCTATCAAGTATAAAAGTTTTAACAGGGATGAAAAAAATTGCAAAATCCACTCATATGCAAGGAATTTGTTGGTATTGTAATGATTAAAAGTGATTTGGGCATCCATAAGAAGTGTAAATATTGATATAATTTTGTCTTCAGAACAATTTCACATCAGAACTTTTTAGATAAAAAAAGTTCAGATGCAAAAACCTCTAAGTGCCGTCTGAAATTCTCATCGAAAATCTACATTTTTCTCAGCCCCCTTTGTTTATGTTGAGATATTTCACTTTAAAGACCACGAAAAGGACTTATTATTTGCCATAAAAGTGATTTGACTCAACCTACACACAGCACCCTGTAATAAAAAAAGCTCATTTAAGAGGAAAATTTCAGACGGCATATAGAGGTTTTTGCATCTAAACTCTTCCATTCTAAACTGCTTTAACCACAAAATATGCAGGTATGTAAGGGACGAATATGCTTTTATTAAAAAACATATTTATATGGTTTATACTTATAAACCGTATTTATAACCATATAGTATTTTAATTCAGAACCACTAATAAATATGGACAGTTGAATACTAATAGTTGGCGTGCTGTCTGTCAAATAAACTTCAGTTTTTTATCCTTTCTTCATATTTTTACTATTACTCAGATGATGAAATTTAAAAAAACTCTATTTTTTAAAGTAATGTTGAGTTCTATGTTTGATTTCAAAGATATCTTTGTTTAAAAAAAAATTTGAGGACATCTGTGTTGTGTCGCCTCTTGAAGGCCAAAGTCAACCAGTTAAAAAACACTGATAAAGATGTAACATCTAGAAGCATTTAAGATGGTCGCATGATCAAGTCTCAACCCTTGAATTGCACCACAGACCACAATATAATTTGTTAAATACGTTAAATGTCAGTGGCCTCAAGTCCTGCATACTCAGCTGCCTCACATGGCAACAACATAATGACTGACAATTATTAGCACCCCATTAAAGAATGATGATATTTAGGATTTGTTTTGTACGTGGGTCAAAACAAACAAGAACATAAGCATATTCATTTAACTTTTAAGCAACACATTTTGAAAAAATCAGTTGGGTTGTTTATGTCAGTTTCATTTGTTTTTGATTTACGAACAAAATACTTTTATAATAACTATTAAATAAAAGTGTAATCATAAAGTAGCCTACTAAAGTACTTCTATCCCCCTTGAAAGTAAAATTTGTCTTCGCCTCTCTGAAAATAAGCATCTACATGATTTTTGAATGAATCAGCAAATCTTTCATTAAAACACTATAATGTATTCTTCTCTTGCATTAGATTTTATTCAGACAAAAAGACTAGATAGATAGATAGATAGATAGATAGATAGATAGATAGATAGATAGATAGATAGATAGATACTGTTTCAACAAATCCTTATTAAAATTAAGAATTCAATTCGTACCTTTAAGAATAACAACCATGTAACTGAAAAGCAAGATATTACTGGAAAGGCAGCGTTTCACAAGCAAATGTTTCGCACACATCGAGCTCTATATATATATGTGTGTGTGTGTGTGTCACATTGCTGTAATGTCTGCGCGTGCACCTGCAGCGATGTCCTTCAGTCATATTTAGCTGCGCGTGAGCCATTTCACAGATGAATTTTTAAAACCAGAACACACTGTATTCCACACGGGACCTGCAATGCGGACTGCACACTTCATTTTATCGCTATACACAAGAATACAAACCAAAACCAAGTTATGTTCTCGCACGACACCTCCCGCGCTGCCTTTAAAACGGGAGTACAAACCAAGCACACAGATTTGATTCCCAAGCAAAACGCTGTGATGTGTCCTGGCCACGGGGTGTTGGCACAGACAAGACTGTTATGTTAAAGGATTGACACTAAAAAATAGCTGTCAATTGAAGCGGAACCGTGAGGGAGATTTCACAGCTGACAGGCCACGGCAATTATTTCATGACAGCTTTTCGGTATGAGACGGAGATGGATTTTTCATAGGCTGCGATAGCCTACATGTTGGACGCATTACTCACACCTTGATTTTAAGCCATTATTTTAGATTACTGCTAAGAAAGACTGATCGAGGAACAATAATAAGCTTAAAAATAAATTACAATAATACATTCGCAAGCTTGAGATATGTTAAACGGTGGAACTTATTCACATTATATTCACATCTTGTCACTGGCAATGGATCAAAACGCTCTTAAATCTTACCTTTGGCTGCATCCACCGCGTATAATAGTCCTAAAAGCAGACCGACTGCAGAAGCGAAAGGTTTGACCCCGCGGATCCGCATCGCGTCTTCGTAATAAAAACAGGGAAAGATTAAAACTGCGTTACTCTGTCTCCTCTCGCCCGAAACGGTCTGATTGGGCTCGGCGTCGCAGAAATATCCAGAAGATGTATATCTCGGATTAGTGCGGTAGTTTTAAGATGGCTGCCGCCGCCACCGCCGTTCAGCTCTCTTCTCTTTCAATCACCGTTCAGTGTCTCTCGCCGCTCCGCTACTGCTGCATCCAACGGGAGCGGTGACGGGCTGACGTCACGCGTGTTATTGTGGGACTGAGTGCGGGCCGCTTTCCATAGGCAACCTCAGACTTTCAGAGAGGGTGTGGATTGAAAAGATGCGGGGTGGATAGTTTTTGCACGTGTAAAATGATGTTGTGTGATGTTTTAAACCATCTTTTGACAATTCAATATCAAAATGAATTTTGATAGGCTAGTCATTATCGCTATCATCATGTTTTCATGAACTAGTGTGGGAAAAACAAAATACCTACAAAAAATGTGATGGGCAACTTAATTGTTTTATTTTCAATCCACAAATTTGTAAAAACCAATAAGTTAATTTAATTCCTTTATTGTTGATCCAACACAAATCGATTGTGTGAATCCCAGCATTTTTTACAGTGTAACGTTAGCTATATAATATATTCTTTGTACTATTATACTGCAGGCTACCGCAAAAATAAGGGCCTAAATAACATTTTGATACACCTGGCTGGTTTGGCTTCTGAAAATATATTGCTTGATAAGTTTAACATACTGTTTTACTTTTCAAGTTTAATTTAGAAATTAAGCATTTTTTTCAGTATGTATTTTTTTTTTACAGTAAATAATATAGTTTTATTGTATAGGGAAGGCAAGGCTAGTTTATTCATATAGCACATTCCATACACAATGGTAATTCAAAGTGATATACATAAACAAGAATAAAACAAATAAGTAAATAAAAATGATTAAAACAAAATAAAATGTGTTAAAACAGGTTATAAAAGAATCAAAAAGAAAAGAAAGACAATAGTGCGATCTGTTGGACGTACCACAGTGCTCATTTGGCACAACTAAACAGATGTATTAGTTTTAGTTAGAATAATAACCCTGGACTGAAAATTGTAATTATTAAAAAATCCAATATTTTGTATTTTGTGAAGTCTTTTGGGCACAATAACCATTACAAAAATACTACCAAAAATTATTCACAAACTCACACCAATGGTTGTTGACTTAAGTAATATTTTTATTAGCTAGGAAACTGGGTATTTATTTCCTAATTAAAAAAGCAGAAACACGCTGATAAAACATCATTTATAAGTTATCTAAATAATTGTATAATTATTTTTAAAACACCAACTTGCAAAAGGTTATAGTTGGTTTTCCTTGCTTTAAAACACACAACAATGGTATTTCAACTTCTCTTTTGAAATACTTCTCTATTGTTGATGACACATTTAGAAATTACATGAAGCTGTTTGTTCTACTCAAAATAAAGTTCTGTGGAGCAGCAATTGCAAACCAAGCTGTTCTGACACATTGTTATCAAGACCCACCCCTCACTGACAAAGATCCAGAATTTGTCCCACACAGGAACTAATTTGTTTTATTCTGGCCATCATAATAAGTGAAAATAACCCATCGAAAAGGCTTTAAGGCTAAGTGGAATCCTCTGTTGGCTGTCGCTTTGGTGTGACTTCAGCTAATCATTTTTGGCCAATGCAAACAATTATTTTACATGAGTCTAAGTCCAACTGTGCAAGAAAACATACAATCTGACATAAGAGAAGTCATCTTTCACTACTGTATTGTTTTTTAAATAGAGATAACATGCTACAAGAAATTTTTATTGCAAATCAAGACCTTATTCCTGAATTAAAACACGACCAATAAGAAGTGTGAAACACCAAAAGTAGCTAATATAAAAATGGATAAAATGAATAATATTTTAGCTAAAATAGTCAACAAGTGTGGGTATGATGACCAGAATAGTGCTTAAAAATGTCACAACAATGCAGTAATTGAATAGAAAATGAGGTGTATAATTGCAAAAAAAAAAAGTCCACTTTTTGAGAAAAAAGAATGACCCCTTTCACCAAGCTGGCTATGGGCCAGGTTATGGTGTAAAAAGGTCCTAGTGTTGCACATACATACTTGTATAAATACAGTGCAGTCTTTGAGATCTGATAATCACACTAAATCATACTGTAGTCTCAGAATTAATCATAAAAAAAATGTTTACCAGGCATCCAGAAAGTAACACTCATACGTTTAACAACAAATTGTTTTTGGCAAGCATTCATTTTAGGCCTGCTGACATTTTCAGTGTTTTTATTTTCATCACCAAAATGATGTAAATTTCTGTCGGATGTGGCCTTTACATATCTGAATCATCATGAATAGTCTTAAAATGAGAAGTTGCACTTGTTGTATGCTAGTTTCCTTCCTTTTGTACACAGAAAGGGTTGGACATGCAATTACATTTTTCAGTCACATTGGATCTGGTAGAAAGAGAGCTCTTGAAAACCTGTCAAACATGTGATGACAAAAATAATAATTTATGCCCAAACCAGTGATCAAATTGTTCAAAACTCCAAAATTATGATGCGATGATAAAAGAAATGTTGCATTATTTGTTGTCTTTTGATGATGTTTTAAGCAACAGCATATGATTGGATGTTTGCTGTTTTATTTAGATAGACATTTTAAAAGACAACGTAGATCATAGGGAGGGATGGAGATGAATTTTCGTGTAGTAAGTTATGGTTCTTGATGCTTTCTTTCAGAGGCTGATGGCAACTGTGCCGATAACTCTCTGGATGACAACAATCACAATCTTATTATAGTAATTATGGTTTTTTTTATATTATATCTGTGTATTGTCTAAATGGTAGTGGCTGCACTAGTCCTGGAATTATATTCTCCCGTTTTGATTTATGAGCAATTGAGTACACATAAATTGTCCTCTTATTGGATACTGACTGCATCTGCAACATTATGTTTACTAATTTATTTATTTTTTAATTAAATTTAAAATGATTTTGCCACAATATTCTTTGAAAATATTCTATCTATCTATCTATCTATCTATCTATCTATCTATCTATCTATCTATCTATCTATCTATCTATCTATCTATCTATCTATCTATCTATCTATCTATCTATCTATCCATCCATCCATCTTCATTATTGACTGGTATATACAGTAGTTATTTTAATGTCTGTTGTAATGTTTATCCATATTTTAAATTAGTAACTTATTTTTTATTTAATTCCGTTGACTGTTTTCATCATTTTTATTTTATAGTGTCTACAAAACTTGAAGTAGTTTTTTTTATTTAGTCTTAGCTATTTTAGTTGTAAAATAAGCATAAGGAAAATGTCAAAAGTTTCTCTTGCACCAAGCTGAAATAAAATGAGTGTTACATTTTTATTTAGTAATAAAGTAAATGTTTAATATATTAACAAGTGGACTCTGGAATGATATCCCCAATGAATTCTAACTCTTTTAAAATGTCTATACTGTAATATATTATCATTATGAATTTCTAACAATAATCGTGGTATAAGGGCCGACGCGGTGGAGCAGTGGGTAGAGCTGTCACCTCACAGCAAGAAGGTCACTGATTTGAGCCCCAGCCGCGTCAGTTGGCATTTCTATGTGGAGTTTGCATGTTCACGTGGGTTTTCTCTTGTTTTCCCCACAGTCTACAGAAATGTGCTGTTGGTGAATTGGGTAAGCTTAATTGTCCGTAGTGTATGTGTACTGTATGTCCTGGTCCTCGAGGTTGGGTGATGAGTATTGGGCTAACAACCCACCTCATAAAAAAACGTATGAAACACCAATATGGTGCGGCTAAATATCAACTTCGATATAAACGACCCTGGGAATAAGTAAGTAAGAAATTGTAAGTAAAAAGTGAAGTTTTTTAACTAATTTCCAGAGGAGCATGTGATAAGATTGATGGCATCTGGTCTCTTATTCGTGATCAGTAATAAACCAATCAGATTGATCCAAGCCCATTATAAATAGACCGGTTGCACCTTACTGCCATATCTTTGTTTTGGAAGAATCCCCCCTTCCACCCCATCTCCTCCTTTCCCTTCTTTACTAGGGGACACTCTTACATGCTAAAAAACCTGGTGGGAGCCCTATAGGCTCAATTATCACCAAGCTCAGGGTTCTCTCACAGGGCAGTATGCCAAACCTTGTAATAGCATCAAGCAATATTTAAGTGTAAACTCTTGAAATTAGATTTACACTGAAAATGCATTTTTGTTTCAACTCAAATTTAGATAAGATGTCAAAAACTAAAAGGCATTTTCAAATAGTCATCATCAGGCCAAAATGAGAATCAAATTCTAACAATTTTTGTCGACCTTATAAATGGTAACACTTTGTTTTGATGGTCCATTTGAGTATTAGTAGACTGTCTGCTTAATGTTTATACTGTTACTTTAACAAACATTTAACTGACTATAAGAAACTTTGCAAGTGTATGTCAATTTACACTAACACTAACCCCAGTCTACAGTGTCTACAGTTTACTTGTAATCTAATGAGAATTAGTTGACAATGACAATTCATTCCACACATTTACTCCTAAAATTAGCAAAAAAAATTTGCACATTGCAATGCAAATTCAACACATACTTTCTACATCAGAGATAATGAGAAATGTCTTCCCAAATAAAGCTGAAGAAACGTTCTGGCCCACCTGTGGCTGTGTTTCCATCAAGATCTGGCTTTTCATCTCTCTCCGCCATTTCATCAGTGAGTCACATCACGCCAGAGTACATGGGAACACAGCACTTCTCCTAAAAACATCAAAGAAACTGTACTCAGACTGAAATCACTCAATTCTCCCAAGCAGATTCAGCATCTCGGCCTCAAAGCCACAGAGAAGCTCAAGTCTCTATCAGTGGGATTTTAGGACTGTGGTTTATCACGATACGCTGATGCTCTTCTTTCATATCAAGCTTCAGTCTCTATCTTTTTTCCCCTGTTTCCAATAGTAACAGACTGCAGAATAAAGGCAGTCATGGTGATCTGAGCTCTTTTGTGATGGAAGATGTTTGTAGTAAAAACAAAACAACATTCATGGTTTGGCCTACACTTTTGTGTCAACAGAATAATATTAGAGATGTCTTACTTAAAGTGGCCTTTGGATATCAACCAATCTCACTCTATTAAGATAAACACACTGAATAATGAGTCTCAGACTGACCTTTATAAAGGCTAAATGATAACCGACAGCACCAT